AAAATTTTATTTATGAAAATGAGTATGGAAACACTGAAGAGCCACAACTTCTAGAAACACTAATTAGTTTACTCATGTTTATGCATACAATATAAAAATTGCAAATATAAGAAAATTACAAAAAATTTTGTTCAACATTTTTTTTTTAAATAATTTGTTTATAATCTGAACGATTTTCATCATATTATTATCATAAATCAGTATTTATTTCGTACCGATCGAGTAACATTTACCAAAGTTATATAGAAAAACTTAAGTGGATCTCCTTTTTTTTCTAAAACAATTTCTCTTCAATTGTATAAATAACCTTTAAGTGAAAAAGCCGGACTATAGAAAATTTGTAAAGAACAGCATTAATATTGCTGGCGTGTATTTAGGTTGCTGGTTCCAAATATTCTAATCTTTTTTTAATATTACCTATAGTTTGCGAATTTTTGCAAATTTAGGAACAATTTCGGTAGCTCTAATAGAAAAGCCATTATTTTCTGTCATCGTGGAAAAATTTTATTTATGAAAATGAGTATGGAAACACTGAAGAGCCACAACTTCTAGAAACACTTATTAGTTTACTTATGTTTACGCATACAGTATAAAAATTACAAAAAATTTTTTTCAACTTTTTTTTTATTTTAAAATAATTTGTTAATAATCTGAACGATTTTCATCATATTATTATCATAAAAATGTGCTTCTTCGGTGACTAATGAGACTATTCTGAACCAATTTTCAAGACTGCATATATGGACTTAAAATGGGCGTTCTCACCCGTATTGTATTATGTTAGTCTATGTAAATACTTATATGCTTGAAACTACTATTAACTTATCAAACGATTCCTAATCTTTGACAATACATGTTTGACTTCATTCACCACGATCTTGAAAACTGACCAAATTGGCGTGACTAAGTCCATGGTCCTTTTTATTATTATATTAATATCCGAAAACATTAAAAAAAGAATTTAAAACTTATAAGCGAAGTATATAGTTTTTTAATTTTTATTTTAATTTCTTAAAAACTTGTAGACTTATTAAAAAATGATAAATGAACGTGAGGTACTAAATTGAATAACCCTTTTTTTGATATATCGTCCTGTTTATACTAATTAACGCATTTCATAAATATTACAAGCCAAAATTTCATTTTCAAAATTCATACACTTTGATTCAATTGCGCTGGCTAAAGATAAGTTTTAAATTAATCTTTCGTGGCCAATAACACATGGCTTAGACTAGAGATGGGCATGGGCCTAAATTTTCAGGCCCGGCCCGGCACGAGTGCAAAATTAACTTGCAAAAACACGCACCAGCCCGCACGTTAAGAATTTTAGTGGCCCGGCCCG